TCATCACTATGCCTCAGAGGCATAGCCCATTTTTTTCTTGGGCAGGGGAGGGGGGGTTGGTCCAGGAAATCTCTTAGGGACTGGGAGTTGTCAGAGGACAGGCTCTGCCTGGGCCTGTTATCTTGACTGCGATTGCAACAGGCAGGTTTTCATTCTGCCCTCCCTTCAGGGGATGCATGGGGCCAGGTCTGAGCCCAGCCGCTCTGACTCTAAGAAGCCGCCAAGAGTAGTCAGTGGTGACCTCTGGGCATCAGCTTGCCTCCCCGTGGCCTGCCTCTATCCACACACACCTTTGGAGATCTGAGCCTGCAACCTTTCCCGCATTGCTCTTCTCAATCCACCCATCTCACTTCAGCCATGGGACCCTCCTGCCACTCCCCAAACATGCCCAGCTCATTCCTGCCTCAGGACCTTTGCACTTGCTGTTCCCTCTGCCTGGAATGCTCTCCTGTGGCTTTTCTCATAGTTGGATCCAGGGTCACATTATGATTTTCATGGTCCCTCAGCACTTCCTCTTTTTTGAGTTCCTTCATCCATAAAAATATGTTTTATATTTTTTATAAATTATATGTTATGGTTGCTTGGGTGGGAGCATGAATATACTAATGTGATACATTAAAGTGTTTTCTTCAACCTAAAAGTTCATTGTCTTTACTAACTTTAAAAGAAACATCTTCATGGGCCCTAGACTGTGCTACTGTCCCGAATGGAGCAGTTGGTTCTGGTTGGAGCCTTCTCATAATTTAGGCCTCAGTTCAAACATCACTTCCTCTGAAAGGCCTTCCTTGGACACTTCCCTCGAAATATTCCCCATAGCCACCCACCGGCTCATACCCTGATTTATTTCCTTCACAGAATTTACAACTACCTGACAATGTCTAGTTCATAGTTTACTTGGTCTGTGTCTCCTGTAACAGAATGTCCGTTCCACAGGGGCAGGGATGTTGCCTTTTCACTGCTGAATAATCAGCACCTTCAGCTATGGGTCTGTAGAATGGGTGAATGAGCAGTTTGGAATCACCTGATCCAAACAGAGAGTCCCTCCTGTCAGCCACCCTAACATTGGTGCTCTCTCTCATCAGGCACCCTCAGACTCTTCTAAGGTTTGAAGGAAGAAGGGGATTCATACACAGGCCTCACACACAACTCATTTGGCCTCTCAGAGCCTCAGTTTCCTCACCTGGGAAGAATACCACTGATCTATCCTGAGAATGCAAGGAGACACTGTATGTGAAAGCAATGTACCAACCCTAAGAGAGGGTTCAGCAAACCCCCTTCTCACTGGCCACCTCAGAGCTTGTTCTTACCCACAGCAGAGGAACCTTAGCACTGAGGCCTATACAGTAGGTGCTCAATAAATATTGTTGGTTACTGGTTGACCATGTCTCCTCTTCCTCCTCCAGAAAAACCTTAAACAGAAACCCAATGGAAATTCAGAACATCTTGCCCTCTTGCTCTCCTTCTACAAATATTTACTGAGCCCCTACTATATAACAGGCACTGTGCTAGGCTTTAGGGATGAATGATCAGTCAAAAGAATACGTGGTCCCTGCCTTCCTGAAGCTGATGGCCAGGTAGGCTAGACAGGGGTTAATCAAATGATCACATGTCACTGCACTTGTACTAACAACTTCAAAGAAGAAGCTCAATGGCTGTGAGGACACAGATGGGGCATTTGAGCAGGTCGGGGAGGTCAGGGACAGCTTCCCTGAGGTAACAGTGACTAACCTGAGGTCTAACGAAGACATTGGAGTTTATTAGGCAATAAGCAAGGCTGGGGGTTGGAGTGATATTCCAGACAGTGGGAACAGCATGTACAAGAAAAAAAAAATCCTCCCCACGAACTCTCAGCAGTCACTACTGATTAGCCCAGATCCTGCGTGAGGCTAATTGCACAGAGCACTGGGCTGGAGGCTATTCAGAAGGGGCTGCACTAACCCAGCTCTGAGACCCTGACAAAGCCTTAAACGTAGCCAAACAGCCAAGCGTGCCAGGAAAAAGAGCACTGGACACAACCTGAAGGTGCAGCCTCAAGCCAGGTGGTGGCACAACCTTAGGAGCCCCTTCTCCCTTCCAGGCCTCCGTTTCCTCGTGTGATTGAAGAAAGTGGCTCTGCGTGGTGACCCTCCTGCAGCTTCAGCCAGAGAGAAGCTAAGTGCGTGCACGTTCCCACCCCCACCCCCTCACTCCCTGGCCAGGAGAAGCCCCTGCATATCAGCCTCCCCTCAGGAGCAGGGAGGGGCTGGGACTTCGCCCAGAGCTTGGACTCAGCACATGACTCAGCGCTGGAAGGAGGCACCCATCACCCTGGGCAGCCAGGGTGGCAGAGATCCAGGGCAGGAACAGGTGGCCGTGAGGGTGGAGGAGGCAGGGCTCTTGGCCCCTCTGTGGCTCCTCCCCTTGCTCAGGCCTGGGGCCCATTAACACAAAGGGCGACTCTCAGCCCGGAGAAGGGCGCAACCCAAGAAGGAAGGAAAGTGGGAAGAAGGCTGGAGGTCAAATTCTATGAAACCTACAAGATACAGCAGATGTGGCTGAATGACTTTCAAATCCTGAGATGAATTACAAAGATTCCTGCCCAGGTCCATTTCTCTGGCTTCTTCTCCATGCAAACGTCACTTCAACAGAGAAGTCTTCGCAGATCAGCCATCTGTCCCCCACCCTCCCATCACCTTTTCATTGTCCTCATACTTCCGCTCTGTAGGACTTGTTTCCAGGCCTGTGGCCATCTCCCCACATCCTCCTGGCATGTAAGCTCCCCGAGGGCAGCCGTCTCCCTGCCTTGCTCATCGTTTTCCCACGGGGCCTGGAACAGCACCTGGCACAGAGCCACAACTTGCATGCTGGGAACTATTTGAGGTGATTTACATATATTATTTCGTCATGTCCCAATCTTTGAAAGAGGCGACATAATGATTTCTTTTTTTCAGGTAGAAACACTGAGGACAGAAAGACAAGTGACTTGCTCAAAGGTCCCACCGCTGGGACATGCGGGAGCCCACTCTGCACCCCAGGCGGTCTGACTGCCACACTTGGAATGTGGAAGCAAAGGGATGGGCGGGCAGGGAGAGCGGTGACTCACCTCCCAAGTGACTGATAAGGAGACATTAGCCCAGAGCCAGGAGGTCCCCCCTGAAGCTGGAGTTACTTACATTAGGGTTTCTAAAGGGAAGTCCTGCTTCACACAGCTGCTGTCCAGCTTCTTGAATTTGTTACTCCCAGGGGGTCTTCACAGGCTGAAAATAGAAAGGAGTTCAGAAAGGGTTGCACAAAATTAATGGATGACGGTCCCCATGGTAATTAAAGGAAGTGAGAGATGCTGGGGCTTTGGGCTCAGACATTTGAGGTCGCGTCACTGCTGGGGACTGCCATGGTCTCCCCCAAACGGGTCTCGGATGCTCCAGCAGAGAAGCCTGGGGGAGGCACGTAAGCTCAATACCCAGCGCACTCCTGCAGGATTTGGCTGGTGGCCGATGCCTTCCCCTTCCCCCCTCTCCTCACCACCCGCCTCATCCCCCAGGCCCAGCTGGACTGTTAGGGGCTGGGTGTCTTGGCTTGCTGACTCATGCACCTGCCCAAGACGGGCAATTTGCATATGTTCTGGTTTCTGAGTATTTTCTTTGCTTCTATATTTTTAGAGAAAAAGCTATTTTGGCAAGGTCTTTATTACTTCCTAATTAATCATATTCCTTCCATTTCTTCTGTCTTGTTAAATATAAAACTCAGCAAGCAGCTCATTCTCACTTGTTTCAGATTCACAGTGAATTTCATGCCCACGCCCTTTCCTTCAGGTGAGCCTGGGGCCGGAGAGTCCCCGCGCCAGGGGGCATCCTCATGCTCAGTGATCTCCCCTTCGGGAGCACCACTCTCATTATTCGCCTTCTTGACCTCCCCATAGCTCCTTCCCTCGCCTCCTCCACCCAGTGTCTCCCTCCCTGCTCTTCCTTCTCCCCCCCTTCACCTTCCTCCCTTCCTCCTCTCAGTCTGCCACCTCCCACAGCTTCCTGCTCTCTGCGTCACCCATTTTCCTTCTCCCTACTCCTCCCCCACCCCATCTTTAACCTCCACTCCCCCTTCCCCAAACATCACCCACAGGCCCACGCTGTGGCTGCTCCTGCAGGTGGGTGCTGC